GATGATCGGTTGGATAATGTGTATCGGACATTATTTTTGATAGATCGTTTTGTATTTCTGATATTATTGCACGTTTCCTATGTTCCATGTGGCTGAGCATCATTTTCATGTATATTATGTTATATTTAAGGTCTATTTGTGTATTTTATGGTCTAATTCTCCTTATTTTGATCACATCCAGCGGTTATCTTTGTCTGTCATATGCTGTAGTTTATCTTTCCTGTGTTTTAGTAAGTTTGTGAACGATGAGCTTACTATTAAGTTAGCTGCAGTCTCAACTTCATTATTTCCTTTTATAATGTTATGTATTGTAATTTTGAGGTTATTTGAAATGAAGACAGTTCTATTTTCTTTGTGAAAGGCTGTTGCCATCCTGTCATGCTGTGAGAGTGACTGTGTGGAGAAAGGAGCCTAATAAAAGAAAGCTGCTGTTTTACTCAACGATTTTGGTGTCCTCCTCATTTACCCCTCACCTCAACACAACGCAGAGACATTTGGGGGAGCACACCGACGAAGAGGGTTACATATATATAAAAATTTAGTTAGTTTTTGCTTAAAACGAGCAACAAGATCTGCCAATGGGGCAAGACATCAGCATAATAACAGCGTTGGCGTGGTTTTCAAGTTTACAGTGTCGGTCTGGGTTAATGAGCTGCATGCGAGTCAAATGTCTACTTTCATTCTTTATATTTTAAACTGAAGTGTGTGCTGCAGATGTTTTGGCCGGTTTGATGAGACTGCAGCTGTTTGAGAGGGTTCGTGTCTCGTGGGAATCACAGATGAATGCTAATCGAAGGAGCAGATCTTCATCTGACGCTGACTGAGGTTCTGTCTCCAGGTTCAGCTGCACTCACTGATCGCTGTGTGACTGTGAATCATTAATAAAAGAACTGATCAAATTCACACACATTTACTCGGCTCACTAAACCAGAACATTTCTTAGATTCTGTTGTTTTAATATACCACTTATTATAAAAACTACAGACACACACACCTTCAATATGAGGAACATGTTTTTTATTTATTTTCCACTGTATGAAATCAATATATTTTTAGCTCTTCTGTTCTTTTGATTAGTAGTTTCGTTCTTTAAGGCTTGATTCAGCCGTTCATGACATCCCGTCATTCACGCCGCAGTACAAATAATACAACTCCAGCTGATTCAGGAAGCTTGACAAACATGTAAACACCTGGAGCTGAACTCAAATAAAGCTGTGTTTCTCATCTGATTCATCTGAATGAGTCATTCATCTGAACTGAATCTGAGTCGAATGAATCTAACACGATCAGTGACTCAAACAGAGCTGGAAACTAATAAATTTTATGAAATGACTTTTTAAAAGTTCTGAATGTAAAAAGGCTCAAAGAAGATTCAGAACTGATATGGACTCCTGAAGAAACCAGAGACACGAAACACGATCATCGGTTCATCTCTGAGCTGAAAATACTGGAGCTAATTAGATCAGTGCATGTAATGATAGCGGTCTTCCACAGCATCAGTAGTGTAGCCTCACTTTTAATACAATGAGTAATTGTGTGATTTTCAAGCTAATGGATGCACGTGCAGATTTCTCATTTGCTGCTCTATAATACAATAATATAAAGTTAGTTACACTCAGAATGGGTTTTTCCACTCCGATGTGCTACTTTTCCAGTATATTTTAGGTAAACGCATGCTAGACGGATGTGTGTGACCGCTGTGCTCGTGTCTTTTGCAGCGTCTCGTGTTTAAAGCACACGTTAAGTTAAAAGAATTTCAGCTTTTACACGCAGCGCCGCTCATCAATGTCAGTTCCAAAACAGAGGACCAATCAGAAGCCCCCGGGGGCGGGGCAAGCGTGCAAACTTACAGTGGTTACAGTAGCAGGTTGGCATGGCAACGGTCTTATTTGAGGGCAACACGATGTGTTTAAATCAGTTTCTCGAGTGAAGTCATCGGCGTTTGACACGGCTCTTTACCTTCGTTGATCTCACAGTTCAAGTAAGCAGGGCTTCTTACCAAATGAACACAAAGGAAGAAAAGCAGCTCTGCATGAGGGTAATGTTACTGTGCCGAACACGTATCAGCTCGTCGGTGTGTTTGGACAGGCCTGTGATCCGGTGTCGGTCACTGCAGACGAGACCAGGCCATGCTCGGGGTACTGCTGCATGAGGAGAACGCCGGAGACCACACGATTAGTACATCACACCTGATCAAGAACCACAGCTAATCCATGTACACCCATGATCGCATATTACCAGCAGTGACACAAGGGCTGTGTGTTCTTGCCATGTAAAGCATCCTTTGAGGGGGATCTCTGTTCTTGCTGTGGTTCTGAATGTTGATCTGTCGTAAAAGCCGGCTCTCGTAGTCCTGGTCCATGACTGAATGAGATCAGAGTGTGTTCCTGTGGAGAGAGACTACTGCAGTGCACTAACAATACCACAGGCTTTCCTAATGATGACAATAACCCTAACGCTAGGAGCATCATTAATGAACAAACACGGCGGCACACTTCTCATATTCTTCTCAAACAGCATCTTACGGGTCAGTGGTCACCCAGTCTAATGAAGCGATGCAGAGCTGTGTTCATCAGAGACAGACTGAATGATGGAGGAACAAACAAACACTGATGGTCTGTAAACGATCCTGACACACACAGACTAAACATATAATTACACAGAATAAGCACTAATGAATGAAGATCACTAATGAGCACACAGCTGAAATAAAGCCGTGAACATGCTGATTTCACACGATAATACCACAGTACTGGTGATTATCAGCTCAAATAGCCTGCTGCTCCTACTGTACCACGGTACATGTCAAGAAACATGGTATTAATAAGTTACGCTCATTTCTGCTGTGTTTGACTGAAGTCTCGCCATGAAGCGCTCTGACGGAAGAAAAAGCTCGTCGTGACGATAGAAGACTCCTGTCAGATGCCCGATGAATGAAATGTGTGCGTTCATACCAGATTTATGGCTTTAATTCTGTAAAACGAGCCGGTTCTGCGCGACTGTTTGTTGTCCTTCCACCGCAAGGCATCGTGGGAAATGTGACGCTGCTGACGTCATTGTTTTCATTCGCGAGAAGCGATTCTGTTGTCATGGACACGGAAGGCGGAAGCGGTCATAAGCTGAAACGTGTTAAAAGGATAAAAAAATTTTTTTTACTATTATTCAGTCAATCAACAAATACAAAGACAGTATAACGGAACATCAGGAAATACAACAAAGAACAAAGATACGCGCCAGGGGAAAGAAAACCGCTTTCTAACCTATATAAAGCGATTAATAAAATAAACACGGAGGTTAAAGGGGGAAATAGATATATCGCAATAATAATAATAGTAAACAATAATAATAGACTATCAAATAAACACATGAATGAATAGATAGATAGATAAACACAAAGTAACAATTTCAAAGCGGAATCCTGAAAAAAGCACAAAGACTGTTTCAAAATATTGTTGCAACTCTTTAAAAACCCATATCTATCTATGTAAAAACACTTTAAAATGTGGCTTATTACTGAAGAATGTACACTTGTGGATATGATATTTGGCCAGAAGTAACACAGTTATAAGATAAAGCTCTTTGTCAGAAAATGCATCTGTATCAAAAATAAAAAAATTAAAAAATCCCAAACAAAGAAAATTGAGAGCACACAAAATCAGTCACAAACCCCCGAAAACTATTCCAAAATACTTACGTGTGATTACAGTACCAGAATAAATGTAAAATAATTTCATCTTGCATAGCCTATTGATATTAAATAATCTGAAAATGGCATGTTTTATAAGTATGTCACGTGTTCATGCATTGAATAACACCGACAAATAAAAAGTATCTTTGTATAAATGTTATTTCTGTACGTGTATGTAAATGTATCGCATGCTTGAATTTCCCGCGAAAACCTAAGTGTTATTATAAGCTAGCCGCTGTGAATCTGGCTGAAGTCAGGCCACAGTTTGGAACACTGGCTGGTCATGTACTTGCTCAAATATTGATTATTTTTAACCAAAAAAAGTTACGGACTGCAGCTTTAAAAGAAAGTCTTTATTTTTAGAGGACTGGTGGCTAAGAGGCATGTGGTCAGTGCTGCACATTATGGATAAGAATGGCTGTTTTGTCAGTTATAGTGATTTCTGCACGAAATTTAATTTTCAGTGTGTGAAAAAAGATTATTTGAAAGTTATGAAATGTGTTTCTTTAACATTAGGCTACGTTCACACCTTTTTTGTCAGTTTTTGGGACTTACAGGTGTGTGAGTCTGGACACGCAGCTTCAGTAGCGTCTGTCTGTCTGAACCCGTATCCAGTAACCATAGCAACACAAGCCCGTATCCAGTAACCATAGCAACACTGACAGACGGGGAGAGTCTTATCACTTTCTGACACGACTAGATCCGATCGAGCCTCGGGGGTTTCCGTCAAGTCTTCATATATCTGGGTGACGTCACAGACACTACAGAGCCGTATTCTGCTGCTGTGTGAACCTGGACAATAATAATAATGATGATGTATCTCTTTATTGTAATTTGGTTAATTCATTTTGGACTGAAGTAGGTCATTGGATAAAACAAAGAGTATCTATTTTTCCATCTATTACTTGGCACATGGTGAAATTTGGAGTGCATTTGGTGGACAAAAATGTAGACTTTGTTGTAAATGGTTTACTTTTTATATTAAAATTCTTTATTCACAAATGTAAAGTTTTGAAAGCAGCACCCCAGTTTAATGTCTTTAAAAAGGAGCTAGCCATGTATACAGAGGTCTTTTGAGATTTTATGAAAATGATGAGTAGTGATTAGGCCAAGAAATTATTTGATTTGTTTATTAAGTGTGATTTTGTTTAAAGCCCTACATTGTTTATGGTTGAATGAATGTATTTAATTTAATTTTATTTCTTGTAGGCATTTTGTTTCTCTGTTATAGTATGATTCCTCTGAATATCTCAGTCTGTGAGGACTATATTGTTTGTTAATGTTGAAATGCAAAGTAATTTTTAAAAAGGGCCACTGTGATGACGTCAGGCCAGCAGGCGGCGCTGCGGCGTGACGTCACATGAGCAGAGACGCAGAAGAAGAAGAAGAAGAAGCGTGAGGAGCGCGTTAGCAGGGCCAGCGCTAATAATGATGAAATAACATAACGTGCGCGGAATAAGCAGAGCGATCGCGGCGCGTCGTGGAAGATATCGCGCTTCTGCAGCGGCGTTTGGACCCCGGGCTGAGAACACAGGCGGAATCATGGCGAACGACGAGACGCTGCGCTCGCTGATGTTCACGCTCAGTTACGTGCTGATGAAGCGGCGGCGTGACGTCACCAGCGCAGACGCGCAGCGCAGACGCGAGGTTCAGCGGCGCGTCGCGCACAGACGGTATTTCCAGCAGAGACACAAGAGGATGATCATGGTGAGAGAGATGTGCCTTCAGTACTGAATACAAGTACGGTGGCCGAGAGGCTTAAGAAAGCATCTTCCTCAGTTTGACAAACAACACGCGCTGCAAGTAGCACAGACCCAACAATGTGTAATATAGTCATTTTTTTCTTTGTTTTGTATATTAATTAGTAAACGACTAAACGCACATCTGTTACAGCTTTATTTGACCCTCTAACTCTAGCACTTTCTATTCTGTTTTAATTCTACTTTATCTATTTATCTTCTTTTTTATTTAAAAAACACTAGCTTTCTTTTTTTCTATTCTATCTACTTGTTTTTCTGTGTGTGTGTGTGTGAGTGTG